AGCTGAAACTAAAGAGAGATTTGTTTTGTAGAGCAGAGCAACATCTTGCTTTTCAGAGAAACATGCTGAGCAGCAGCTGAGGGCTGGGCTAGGTGTGTCCCCTCTGGGGATAAAACTTGTTCCCCTCTGCAGACTCACTGTCTCCTTCTTATTTTCCAGTGAACAACTATGTGGAGTCTAAGTGTGAGACCGTGCTTCAGGAAATGAGGAAGTGCTGCGCCCGGTACCCCAAGGGCAGATCCATCTGTTGTTCAGGGTTTGAGAAAGAAGAAAGGGAGAGAGAAAAGCTTAAGGCGACTTCAGAAGGAATTCCCCCATCACCTCAGTAACACAATGCAGCTCCAGCAGGTGCCGGAGCATGGACTCACCTGCAGAGCTCGTGTGTGTTTTTTTCAAGCCTTCTTTAGACTTTCAGGATAAGCCACGTTGCTCCGAGAACACACCATCCGGCACACCAAAAAGTATAACGTACCAATAGATGGCCTGGTTAACAGACTTTATTTTTTTCTGTACCAAAACATGATGTACATTTGTCTTTGCATTGCACCTGTGTCTGTGAAAAGTCAGCTTGTTATTTTTAGAATGCTTACCTTACTCTAATCCATCCTTGCTCTCAAAATGGAGAACTGGAACCAAGTTATTCTGGCTTCTGGAGCGGGAGGTACAGGAAATACGCTCAGAAGTGTGAGTGAGTTTAAGCGTGACACATGAAACAAGCCCATCCTGACACAGTGAAAGGTACTGCTGCATCATGCAGTAGATCCAGACAACATTTGCCTGTCCAGTGGTTCAAGCTCAAGAATGGAAATCGGGTCTGGGGATTGTTCCTAGGTCTTGCATAGATCACGAGTGACTACCAGTCACTTTGCCTAAGTGCCTCACTTTCCCACTGGGCAGACTTTTGGTTACTTTATATTTGAATTGCCTACACGCTGCTATTTGCATGACAAAGATGTTACAGGAACATAATTTCAGGGATTGCTACAGGAATAGGATTTTTTTTTTTTTAAAAAAGCAATATTAATTTGAAAGATCTGACTGTTGATATAAAAATATATAAATTTATGTATAATTGAGCACCTTTAAGCAATATGTTACGAACCCAGCGTTGTTCAACCCGCTGGTACCCAGAGGCCTGTGAGAAAGCCCTGGGCTAGATCCAAGAACCGATTTAGGTGCTGCTTACTGAACAAGCAGTTGTAGCACTTACTTTCAACACAGCATTCTAGACTCACAAGCCGGCTGTGTCTGGACCCCAGGGAGAGATGGCTTTTCAGAAGCTCTCACCTGTGCAGCAGAATTTCCTGTGACCTGTAGGAAGAGCTTGGTAGACAGGTTCCTGCATCACCCTTCAGAGCTGCCTCTCTGTCCCCTGTAGCAGGAGTCCAGGCACCTCAGTGGGTGCCAAGTCCATTACAGGGCCTAGGCACCTAAATATCAGACTTCGAACCCACTAGGCCCCTAACTCTGTCGTTAGATCTAGCCGTAAAGGACTTTTGTGCTGTGATCAAGTACCACTTACTTATGAAATACAGCTTCTATAAACAGACCACTGTAGTCTAGGCACAATAGTTGAGTGTATTGAAGCCTAGAAGAGTAAACCATCTGTATTCACTGCTCTGAAATACCATGATACAAAATAAACGACTGGAACAAATTGCAGTCTCAGTGTGGTTGTTTGTTGAGAATACAACGTAGCTGCAAGCAGGCAGCTGGGCTGTCAGTCACAGTCCAGAGCTACATATGATACCATCATGTTTAAATAGAAGCAGCTTGATATTTTTATAACCGGGGCTCAAGATCAGATTAATTCAGGGCTAGCCTTCACCTCCCACCCTCTCCTCCAGAAAAACACCAAACAACCTCTTAAGACAAAAAAGGGGTTTTAGTATTCCTGGAAAGTAAGGGAAAGCGATGACAAAGTTGTGAAGCAGCTCAGACACTTGACAAGTAGCTCATTTCCCCTTCTGCCCTGTCTGAGCAGGAGCTCTGGAAAGAAAGTCACTAATACATGACAAAACAGTAAGTATTTAGGCTTCTGTTGCACCTATTAAGAAGAAAAGCCTCATCTCCATGACATTTCTACTCAGGTGGAGCAACCTTGCTCAGGAGGGAGGCTGTGAAGCCAAGCTGGCAGCACAATCACCTCCTGCCCCAGAAGCATCCCACCTTTTGGCAACACGGGTGATCAGTGCCAGGACCATCAAGGAGAGGGATTTATTGAGGCAGCCCACGGTTACCTGCAGAGCAGAGGGAAGGCTGGTGGCCTCAGGCTACTGGACTGGCTGTAACTGCTCCCAGCAGTCAAACACGACACACAGGGTAAGACAAAGCCACGCCGGTTCCCAAGAAGTCAACACCTCACACACAGAAGCTATTAGAGCAAAACTGTTTAATAAAATATCACTTCAACAAGCATTTACATACAATATATAAAAACACTTTAAAAGCCTAGTGTGTGTTAAACCTTCTCATACTGGAACAGCTGCCAGAAGTTGTTGAAACACAATCAAAAGGAGCAGGGGGAACCCCTCACCTTGGCACCTGCAACAATGAAGATGCAGCCCCACGAGGTTGATTCAGCATCAAAGCTTCCAGTGTGGGCCCACAGCATCCAACAGTGACAGCCATGAGCCCAACGCTGCCACAGCATAAGATTTGCCAGATCCTGATGTCATTTCCCTGCCTGCATTCACATCCAGCTCAAGATGAATTTGTCACTTGTTTCCTCTTCCAGTAGCAGTTGAGGTGTTTCAGCTCTCTGGGCCATTTCTCTCCTAACAGCAAGTTGGGACCCTGTGGAGCAGAACTCAGTACACCCTTCCCTGGGGCTGGATGGAAACAGTGACTTATTTGAGCCTGAAAAACATCCCTAAGGTCTGTTAATTATTTACTTTGAGCTTCCTCGCCGGAGAAAGCTTTGTGGAGATCAGTGTATCTCAGAACAAGTTGTGTTATGCAGCACACCAGGCAGTGGGGCAGCAATGCTATTGTCAGGAACAAGATATACCCTGCAATACTCATGTATCAATTCATGCACGTTCAGCCCTGCAGGGTTCCTACAAAACAACAAAAAAATAATGAATTCAAACCCACCACCATCCTCTGTCATTCTCCCAAACACCAATTTCCTGAAGGCCTATTTGCTGCACCACATCACTCCTGCACTCCTGGATGGCTTTTAGGAAGGCCATCATTAAAAGGACATGAGCCCAGCTGCTCCTTCGTTCTCCTTGGCCATGTACGGCAGGACAGGAGCAAAGATACCAACTTCTGTTTCCCGATTACCTGCAGCCTCTTTTCAGATGCTGAGGTGAGAAAATCTCAGCTAAATCAAGGCTTTGCTACACTGACACTTCAATCAACAGAGATGAAACAAAATTAACAACTGCCAGTGCTCATCCCAAAACTTCTGGTGGAAAAACCCATCGTTCCAGCTCTTCCAGCAGCTCCCAGGGGAAGATCCCCATTTCCAGCCATGCTGAGGACAGCAGTGGATGATCAGAGAGGCATTACACAGCGCTGGAGATGGGGTACAGCCAGGGGCTGTGTCCCAACCACCCAAGCACATCATCATCCATTCCCCAGCATGTTTCCCATTGAAGGATGGGGCTGACTTTCACATAAAAAAAAAAACCCCAAAACATTCTTGGCAGGAACTCTTACATGTACCTGCTGGAGGACATCACCTCACCAATCACCCCGCTGTCATGCAAGTCCCTGCACTCTGGAAGGCAGTAACACCAGCCCAGCACAGCCAAGGCTGAACACTTCTAAGGGATTATTACTGTTTTTTAAAAAAATTTCTCTTGTAGGTTCAAGTTCTGCTCTGCACGCAGCTGCGCTGGGACAGACTCTCCAAAACCATTTGAGCTCTGCATCTGGGCTGCCTCATCACCTGCAGGAGAAGGACTGCAGCTCATGGAATTAAGCAAGCAGCTTTTTTTTTTGGTGGAAATTGTAAATGCAAAGAAGGAAGGAACACAACCAAGGCAGAAAGTATGGAAATGAGCCACTCCCACAAGAGCACAACCTGGTTTTCCCAACAGTTTTGTCATTTCAGTTGCCTGCAGAGACCAGGGAAATGGAGTTTGTGCTCTGCAGAGGCAGGTAAAGGGCTGCACTCCAGATTTCACATCTTCCCCCACCTCCACTCCAGTAGAGCTGGCAACAGGGACCCTGGACCAGTACAACGTACCCTAAACAGGGATGCATTTCCTGTCTACAACCCTAGTCTCATGTGATTACAGCTCTAAGAGCATCACCAACGCCAAAGTGGCCAGAGAAGGTCACAGCAGACCTAGAAACACCAGTTTGAGGCCCAAGGTGATTGACAGTAAGTGGCACAGCTGAAACACACATGGCTGGTGCCAGCTAGCCTGACACAGAGAGGCTAAGCAGGCTGGAAGCCTGCCCACCACGAGAGAGCACCTCAGCACATTTCAAAGGCTGAGCAGTCAGCTAGCCAGCGAGAAAAGCGCTCCACAGTGCAGGAAGTTTGTTGAGTTTCAGAACACATGATGAGGAAAGGGCCTGGAAAGTCACCCATGGTGCTCAGTTTCCATCAGCAGTGCCAGTGCTGCCATTCCAGTAAGGGGTATAAATAACAGCAGAAGAGCAGCCACGTGGCCATCTACGCGCACAGCAGCGGCAGGAGGAGAGCAGGAGAACGCCCAGCACCACGTATCACATGAACTTGCTCCTTATCCACCTGTCCTGGGCACAGCCTACGCTGTCCCCTGACACTTCTGCATCCACCCCAGGACAGCCAAGCACACTGTGGATTGCACACACCATCTCTGTGCAGAGGGAAGTACCGGCTTTCCAGGTACCAGGGCAGAAGAAGTGCAAGCTAAATAACAGTGAACAGCTGGTGGACATGTCCACTGGCAGACAAACACACATGGAACAGCAGAGCACCCAGAAGGAAGTGCATTTAAGACATTTCTCTGCCACTACGTGTTTATGAGGCTGCAACTCGTTAGAAAATTTGGGATTGGGTATACTTGCTGGGGAAAGGAATCACAATGACTGGGAGTCATAAGCTTTCAGACCAATCCCAGCACCCTAACAGCCCAGACAGATCAGAAGCAGCACTGTAAGAAATACGGGCTGGAACCTGTGAGCAGAAGGGACTGAGCCTGTCAGTAACATCCTTTGACTTCTACGTGAGAGAGAACAGCAGCAGAGGAGGGCAGGGGAGGCTGGGCGTAAAGGGAGAGGCGAGTGCAGTTTCTAGGACGCCATTCCGAGCAGGAATCCTCCAGCAAACCCTCCAGTCAGCACAACGTTCTTCTTCAGAAATATGATCACCTAAGCAGAGGAGAGAAGAGCCAACAGTGTTCAACAACAGCAGGTCACCCACCCATCCACCCCATAAGAAGACAACCCTCAGGCTGTTCTCCAAGGTGCACGATGCTCAGAGAGAGGCCACAGCTTGGGTCTAGGACCCAATGACCTCCCCTCCCTAATCTCCCCTCTGTGTGTAGAGCTGCTGAACTGACCCAGTCCCAGTGCAGCCCAGACCCTGCGAGAGCTGCAGCCCGAGCCCACGTGCTCCAGGGCTCTCTCACAACCAGCACAGGCAGTCTGACCCAGGGGCCTGACTGTGCCTGCCAGGGTAACTGGGCCACCCTGCTGCCAGAACTGCTCTGCTTTTCTTGTTAGACTGCAGAGACACTTCTCCTCACAACCCCAAGGAATTTGCAGCAACACATGGTGAGCTGGTGTCACATCTAGAAGCCACCTTGGCTGTCTTAAATACGCATAGACAGCTTTTCCATCTCTCCAGTTTTGCTGTCATGCAAGCATCCCCTCCTTGTATTTGCACAATGGAAGATCCATAAGAGCCCAGGAATCAGTCCTGTTTTCTGCTGCCCCTGCAGCTAAGCACCTGCACACACCCCAGGAGAGCTGTCTCACCTCATCCACTCTGCTTTTCACTTCTGGAGACATTTTGTTACCACTGCTGTGAAATTTCAGCTGCTGCTTGGCTTTGTTCACGTCCCGTTCTACCAGCTTCCAGTCCACTTTGATGTATCCTGTGTGATTTGCAATCTAGAGTTTTGAGGGGTGGAAAGAAAGTTCCTGGAGTCAAGTCCTGTGTGACTCCCTTGCCCACCCACCTTCCCTGACCACGGCCTCATGCTGCACACCGGTCCAGTGGGCTGAGAGCATAAGCACACCAGCTTAAAAATCACACAGAGAACAACCCCTGTAGCTGTATTAACTGTCCCACAACATCTGTCTCCCACAGTAATCCCCTGACAGCAGGGCACACACCGCAGCTCAGCCTGTTTCAGCCTCTCTAATGTAAAGCAGACACCACCTCCCCCTCACAACTGCCATGCAGATCACTGGGACTCTCTGCAGCTCTCCTGCTGCTGTCGGTGGACACCGCTATTAATAGCCTGTTCCTCTCTAAATATTTTATCTGGTCAGGATGATTCAACAGTGAAACTCTTCTTGCTCAGAGCAAGCTTTTGGCTTTCAGCAGAACAAGCAGAGCCAGAAGAGCAGGGAGAACGAGTCACACACCAGACAGTGTCTGAGAAGCAAACAAATAAGAGTGCTGAGCGAGGCCTGAGAGCTGTTCTGCCTTCTGCAGGATGTACCAGCCAGATGTCCACACCCAGGCAGCTCCCCTCAGTGCCGGGGCTCTTGGAAACCAGAAGAAACGGCTGAGGACAGAGAGAGATCTCCATTTCTCTCCTCTCCCCCACTGCTTTACAGAGAGCCCCATCTCTGCTGGTCTGACTCCTCAGGTAGCCAGGCTGGAAGCATGGAAGTGTATCACAGATGTGGGACAAATCCCTCTTGCCATCCAGGGACACCATCTCCACGGGCACAGGACCAAGCACAGGCTGCCTCCTGCTTCACTGGGGTGCCCCTGGCCCGGCCTTTGTGAGCAGGCCCTCAGCAGACAGCACCTGCTGCAATCCTTAACTATGTGCACACTGAGCCTGCTTTGCTGCTGCACCTATTTACCCCGGGGAACACAGGCCCTTGACATCTACAGCCACAAAGAGCTCCTGGCAGAGCAGGGAACTGGCACCACATGTCCCGACAGGTAATGATCACCAGACAGCCCTTGGTCCCCACCAGCACAGTTCTCAGAGAGCCTGGCCCGCTGTTCATACGCACCTGAAGCAGGAAAAAGCCACCTCCCACTGCTGTCGCTGCCAGCTTTCCAACTTTTTGGAAGATGAATCCAGTACACCTACAAATCAACCAGGATCCAGTCAGGAGCATGAGACACCACGCGCACGCTCTCCAGCATGCTTCCCACAGGCAAGGCTGCCTTCAGCAGTGATTACCCAGAGACAGCCTGACAAGCAGCAGGAGAAACCCACATGCAGCCAGAGAGAAAGAGAAAGGATTTGCAACCAGACAAAACTGATGCTTTCTAGCTTTTTACTCCTCACCATCACGTTTCAGCCTTTTGCAGTTTTGATTGTTATCTCCTCAACATCAACCTTCTCTCAGAAGAGTAATCGGAAACATGTGATTTCACCAAAATCAACAAGTGATTTTAGCTTCTTTTTTTTTTTTTTTTTTAACTGGTATCATCTCTGAAGGGAAATCAGGCAGCACATCTGCTGCTGCTCCACGACAGAGCACGGGGACCAGGTGACCAGGCAAGCTGCTTTGTTGCCTGAACAACTGCTTACTTTTCATTTCTCAAAAGAGAAAAACTCTGAAACGAGCAGACAGCAGAGGTCTAAAGCTCTACTGGTCTCAAACTGGGTTACACACTCTCAACATGAAAGCCATCGCTGCAGCCACCAGAGCTCAAGCAAGCGCCACCCCATTGCTCAGTCACGCAGCAAAGGGTTAGTGCATCACCCCAAACAGACCTGACTTTGACCACAGTTTCCTTAGCAACACTGCAAAACAACACAGCAACCTGCTCGTGCCCATTTCTGAACACAGACACTAAGCAAAGACACAAGAGAGAGGCGGCCAGCTCGTATTTCTATCAAAAGATGAAGATCTGTCAGACACTTTTACATGGTTACCCCTGTGCCAGACGGAGCCACGCGCAGCAAGAAGCAAAGCGCTGTGATTACACCAAGTTTTCAACTCAAACAATGTTGTTGTGGGAATGAAGTTGCAAATAGAGCCACCAGCCCCACCACTTACTACAAGTGATGGGCAACCCCAGGAGCCATGCCCACAGGTGCAATGAGCCACCTCCACAGGAGGGTTTTGTGCAGGTGCCTGAAGCACATCCCCCTCTAGGGATGAAGGTATCCTTGTTCCAGGAGGCTCGTGTTCTCCTGACCTAAATTCAACATCACCGCTTGATGCCAGAAGTTAAAGAGAATTACCTCACCTCAAAAATTAAAGCCTGATGCTGTTTTCTTCCCCAGTCTCAGTTCTTCAGCTCCACGTTAGAGACATCTTTTAAGACCCCCCACAGTTCAGCAGAGCATGCGAGGGCACAGTGGGCTGTGCAGGCTGGACACCTGCCTTCTCTCAAAGCCTGCCAGATGACCACCCTGCACCTATCAGCATGGTCCCAAAAGCCCAGCAGGTGCCCGCAGGCATCCTTTTTCCACGAGCAGCAACGGCATCCCCAGCACATCTTACCATCCCGTGACCCCTCCGATCACCAGCTGCGTGGCCACGTTGTACTTCTCAGCGCTCGACCCCGAGCTGGGGGCAAAGACCTTGCGCCACCAGGGCCGGTTCTTGGTGTACTCTGCCAGGTCCAGCACGTTGAACGAGTCCTCCTTCGTACCTGCAGGCACCGGGACAGGCTCAGCGCCGGGACTGCTGCCCCACAGCCCCTGCCCGCGGCCTCCCCGGGGACAC